AAGAGAAGAGAAGAGAAGAGAAGAGAAGAGAAGAGAAGAGAAGAGAAAAGAGGAATACGGTGCTTCTGACTGTTTAAAGGAAATCCTGCTCTTCTCTATCCAAATGACTAACTGCAATTTTATGCAAAAATGAACATTTGAGCTTTTAAATCCACAAATACCAGTTAATGTTTTTCACCTTTTCAAGATCCTGTCTAGCCCTAGCTCACCACCGGTTTTGTTTTTGGTTGGTTTTTTTGTTTGTTTGTTTGTTTGTTTGTTTTTTAAATACATATTTTCAAAGCATACCAATGAAACATGTCTAACAGTAATACTGGGTCCACTGCCTAAGCATGCACTCACAGAAAAAGGGCTCCCATCACCCTTCAAATAGTCTGGTCACAATGTTTTACTAGACCAGCAGTTCACCCACCCCACTCATAACCTTATCAGCTGTCTTTAGGCCTTCCCTTCCCAAGGAATGAATCAGAAAATAAAGGCGTAGAAAGAAAGAAAAAGCCAGATTGAGAAGAATGATAAGAATCAAGCCCCAAATGACTCTCTATCTTATGTGAGAAGCCCTTGCCCTGATGCTGGCTTGATCCAGTATTTTGCACTATATTCCTGCTGCTCCCCATTCCTTCCAGTCCCCGCTAAGTGCTGAAGCCCTCATTTGTTTGGTCACACATCCAAATGAGCACAGTGCACCACAGATAAGGGAGCTCATCCTAGATTCAATTAAGATGCACCAGTACCTAGAGGAGGGCACCCAGCTCCATGGGTGAAACTGGTTTGCCTGAGCACCGGCATATGCAAATGTATGCCACGCAGCACTTGTTGGCACTTGTCATCATTGGAATCAGTCCCAAGGCATGGATTCCAAGGGGCAGCCTGCGGTACTCTGAGGCATTCCAAAAGGCAGAATGGAATCCTGGGGGGGCAATTCTTTTGGCTTTAAGGAAGGTAGCAGAGGTACCTTACTAAAGCACAACTAATTGTTTTTTTTCAGGGCATAGAATTGGGATTTCTTTATCCAAAACTGTGCTGTGGGCAGCCATTCTCTAATGGGAATGGTCAGAAACAGACAGAAGCATTTATTTACAAGATCCCACCTTTCCCACAACAGTGTGGAACATAACAGAGGTTACTACAAAGTTGCTGTGCCTTCCCTTCCCAGAATGAATGGTGCAAACTTCCATCATCATGAAATCCCAAGTCCAGAGCAGATGTGCACTTTAAAAGGATCTCAAATAGAGCCATTTATGATTCTAGAAAGTTTCCAAAATGGATGAGACACCTTTTGGTTGTGGGAGTTGTTTTTTTTTTTTTTTTTTAATACAAAGAAAATCCAGAAATGATCAAAAAGACCTGATGAAAGAAAAAAGAAACACCTTTAAACTGTGGGCATGAAGTCATAATTCTCAAGGGTCCTTTGTATTCACAAAATTTAAAGATTCTGCTATTCTATTTCTCTTGATCTTAAAATACAGCAACCTAGCAACAAGCTCAGGCATTGGGAATACCAGGTTCAAACCAAAGAAATAAAGTGATTCTTAACTAGGCAGTAGGATCAGTATTATAAAATGCTACCTGAAAACCAGAGTCAGTGAGGTCAAGATTGTTTATAGGTGCACCCCAGACTACAAAAAAGAGACAGATTCCCAAGAATCTAGCTGAGTGGGGACACTTATCTCTTCTAGTATCCTCAATCACCAGAAAAAGAGGACTCCAAGTACAGGTGGAAATGGGGGAGAGTGAGCTCCTGACCTACATAGTACTTTAAGTCTCTGTCAGAAGGGCTTATTTCAAAAACACTGATACCACATAGAAGCCAGGAGTGGATGGAAATAAAATTATTTGTTATATGAGATGACTTTCTGGGAAAAGAGAGAAGGAAGGATACAGGGAATAACATAGGTGATATAAAAACAAAAGATATTATTAAAAATGTATTAACAATAGAAATGAATGGCAATCTTGACTCAGATGGCTATGCCATCATAATGGAAAGTCAAATTATTGTCTAATAACAGATATCCTCACAACTCCTACAGACCCATGCTCAGCACAGTGAAACCTCTATTAAGTGGAATCCACCTAACTGGAACCATCCAACCTAGGCTTCCTTCATGTGCTGACCTTTAAAGTAAAAGATCAGTGCATACCAAGAATTTAATTTAAAACCCAAGTTCAAGTTAGGTCCTGGAGTTGGGACATTTGGACAGTCAGGAAACCATCCTAGCTTCTCATTATATCCATCTTCATTCCTAGAAATCATCACCTTGATGTTCAAAAAGACCAACCTAAGATCCTGAATGATCACCTACCAAATATATAACTATGGTCACCAAACTAAATTTAGTCAGGAAAGGAACTATTAAGATCATAGGCATAATGTTGTAGATAGCTGCCCAGAAAATCTTAAGAGTGATTCTCAAGAATAAATATTGAGATAAACTCAGTGAACTTTTGAAAATTCACTTCACCAGAACTCCCTTACCCCCAATCTCACACTGAATTAAATGTTCTGGTGAATTGAAATTTCACAGTTTCTTTGTCTACATTCTGACCATTCTATCAGAAGAAGACCTTCACACTTCCAGATGCAGTCAAAGACATATTGCATGAGACCAATACAGTCATCAGGCGGCTGTACAAGGGGCAGAAGCTCTGTTATCAGACCTTCTAACATCAGGGTGACAATGCTATTGGATCTTTGTGCTCTTCACAGAGAAAGGTGGGCGAGAAATACATCAAAAGTCAAACTTAGTGAGAAATCAGTCCTTTCCCTTTGGGTCCTTGCTAAAAGTAGGTCTTAATTCTACACAAACTCTGAGGTTTATGTTGAAAGAAGCATAAGTGGCGGCCAGCCAGGCCCTGGGAAACAGAGGAGCAAAAGACACACGTGCGACCTTACCTTTTTTTTTGAGTGGCTTCGTTCCTCATCCTTGGAGGCTTTGCTATTTTTCCCAGTGCGTGAAAGCTTCTGGTCCCCAGACTGCTTAATGGTGATTTTAATCTCAGGTGGGCAAATATAGTTCTCCAGGTTCTTGGGTGGCTTCTTAGCCCTCTTGGTGGTCTGGATCTTAAGTTTCAGGCTCCCCTCTGTGAAGTTAGCCTCTTTGATAGAAAACTCCTGCTCTTCCAGGCCATCTCCTGCCACCCACTTCTCACTGTCAGCATTTGAGTTGGAATCCACATCCCGTCCAGAGCCCAGCTCATCCTCCTCCTCCGGCTCCATCCGTTCTCCCCCTGCTGGAATCCCTTTCCCAGATCCTGGTGCAGGGAGCAAAGAATCCCCTGCACAGCCTGGAGTGCCTGGGGGCTTGGCTGAAGTGACAGACATGAACTCGTTCTCACCCCCCCTTTGGCGGGAGCTGCTTAAAATCTCCCTGGACTCCATGACAATCCAACAGCCCCACAGGAGTTCTCAGGAGGGGGGAGGGGAGGGGGAAGGGGGAGGGGAACTGAGGAGAGGAGAAAACACCCAAAGTCCCAGGAGCAGAACTGTCCAGCTACTGTGTTCAGAGTGCCAGGGGTCCAGACACGGCGAAATGTTCAGAAGTGATCAGATCTACAACTGAGAAATAGAGAGAAAAAGTCAGCATTCAAGGCAGGATATACCAAGACCTCTACAAAAACAATGAGCCTACCCCATCCCACCTAACCAAGGCCTTAAAAAATAGATTTAGGGAAGCCATATTGAATTCTTCCATAACCCCAGAGAAAAGAAGAGGAGAGAAGTGAAGGAGGGAAAATAGGAATTTTGGTTTTTTCTGATTTCCTGACCGTCAGGAGATAGAGCTGAAAGGGGGGAGGAGGTGATAACTCCAAGTTGGAGGATTCTTTTACCCACACTGAATTTTGGCATTGCCAACTAAACTAAAACCCCAACCTCAACAGAAGAGAAGTTTGAGGTGGTGATATTCAGGTGTAACAAGGTTAATATGAGTGTTTATTTTGTTCGGCCTTTCCACCACTACCCCCTGACCTTCAGCAAATTGTGTACAGGCTGGTTAACTTAGCTCTACCTCCATGCCTCCCCTTCTCAAAAGCTATTCCATTTGGAGGAAGAACATTCTATCTGACCTTTTCCCCTTACTCCTCGAAAGCAATGTAAAGTTTAGATTTCAGACTGGGAAAGGGAGAGAAAAAGAGTTCAGCATGAAATTGTTGACCATATAACACAGGGGTTGATTTTTTAAAAAACTGGAATGCATTTAAAATATTTCATTTTTAAAAGGAAAGGCATCTATTCATTACAGTATGTAGACACAAATTTGTTTAACTCTCTCTTTATTCCCTAAATAAAGTCATACAACATATAAACAGCCCACAGAGCTAAGGACGGTTACCAGGGATTTCTCTCTCACTTGTTCTTGGTGGGGACTAAAAAACATTTGGGTCTGACACGTCCAGACCAGAAAAGGTTCAGCTAAATCATATATTCCCCTACTCCAGTGTCTTGGTCTTCCTTTTATTTCCCACCCATAATTCTGAAGTCCCCCCCAAAAAAAGCTCAAACCTTCACTTGGCAGAAGTTCTAGGGAGCCCCAGGGCCAGAACAGACTTCAAGAGGTCATTTTGTTAATCTCCTCAACTGCAGGTTTGACCACACCTAAACCATCTTACCAGGGGCAACGACTGGGCTTTCACTGTCACCCCATGGGTTTCTTAGGCTTTAAATCTGTCTTAGACTCAAAGACCTGACTGGCAAAGATTTCACACTTAGGGAAATGCATAATTATGTCTGAAAAGCATTCATTCACTGAAATTCTCAGGAAAGAGTTTCAGATTCCCCCTCCACCCGCCACTGGTATCAGGTGACTCTTAACAGACACCCTTGTAAGGGGGCTTTTGGGGATGTCAGATGGGAAAGTTTCCTTGGCTTTAGCACTGCCCAAATTCCCCAGAGACACTGAAATACTTCCTGGCTCCTGGAAACATCTCAGCTTGGCAAAATGGCATTGTCTTTGTACCGATCACCACCAGGAATAGGCAAGTCTATGAATAGAACTATCAGTAAGTTTAATAGGCTGCTGCCCTGAGAGGGTGGGAGTTTCCTATCACAGGAATTATTCAAACTGAAACTAGAATGAATCCATCAGCAACGAGGTGTAGAGGAAGGGTGTCAAACTCAAAGGCCACTAAATCGTACTTAAAGATCCCTGCAGGTCTCATATTGACTTAGAAAACCACATATTAACATTATCTATGTTCTATTGTATTTTTATGTATTTTGCTAAATATTTCCCACCTATACTATAATCTGGTTCAGGCCTACTCTGGAGTGTTGTGGGTGGCGGGACACCTCCAGTATAGAGGATTCCTGCCTAGGTTGCAAGGCTGAACTAGATGACGGCTCACGTCTCCTCCAATTCTTGGATGCTCTGAATCAATAATTTCCAAGCTCATTCAGAGCATGAGTTGCTCACCTGTCCATTTCTCTCTGCCAAGGACTTCATCAAAAAACAGTAAGAACAAAAACAAAATTTGGCAACATATTTCGGAGTTTTTCCTATCTTGTCTATAATTTCTATCTGATCCCAGGGACAGTATCATCTGAAAGTAGCTATTTCTCATTTGTAGAGTTTTCCAAGGCTTCTTCTACATTTTCGCAACAGTCTCAAAGTCGCATCTAAATTCCTGGAGCTTCCTGTAACATCATGCTTGGTGACTAACTATGAGAGGTGACCATGAATACTTTCTGGAAACTAAACTGGTTTGGGGTTCAAGATATTATGTACCACATTATGCTATGTGATAGTAGGCTTTCCACATGCAAGTGGTTCCCACTTTAAGCATACTCAAAAGAACAGAAATTTGAACACTCACAATGGATGAATTGGTTGGAATTGCCTGGGCAAGATGACAGATAAGGTTGCCCCCATTACAGAAGTATTCTTCACTTTAAATAGGGGGTTGAATTAGGGTGCCTTTAATCAAGGTGGTACCATCATAAACTGAAGTGGTCATTTATTTATAAATCAGTGACAGCTGTGGCATAAAGGATAGAGAGCTAGGGCCTGATCTAGGAAGACCTGGATTCAAGTGTTGCCTCTGACACATACAGGCTGCATTGACCCTGGACAAGTCATTTAAAGGTTTGGTACCCCAGACAACTCCCAAAGACTATAAGTTGCTGAAGCAGATACAGACCTACATCATTGGTAGAGGGAGATCCTCATCTGGGAGTTTCCTTTAAGAATTAAATCACGGATTCAGTATTAAAAAAAAAAAAAACCAGGTAAGAAAAGGGCTAGTAGAGTCGAAAAGGCCTTGGGGTCAAGTTCTGTCTTTGCCACATACAAAGTGTAACCAAGGGCAAGTCACAACTTCTCAGAGCCCTGGACAAGAAATTTTAAGACTTTAAGTTACAGGCAAGGAATTCCCCTCACCAATAAAATCACAAATCTATATCAACCAAAATAAAACAATACAAAACTCACAGTTGTCTAATTGGCTGGGAGGCTGTAATGCACAAATCATTTTAAATGTCTTTGCTGTCTCTAGTATATAAGCTCACTGCCAACTCTTAGCTCCAATTCACATAGCTTTCTCAGCCTCTCTCCCCTCACTACATCCTGCTCACCTTTAAGGAAGGTTCCACTCATGTCCCTCCCACTCTTGGAGAAGTTCTCTCTCTCATTTCTGAATTCCCAAAGCACACATTTTGACAGCTGATTACCACTAGTCCTTCATTGCTTTTTCCACTGTTTCAAGAACATAGATCTTGGCTTCCCAGTTGATTTCCAGGAAATTCCTTCACAGTCAGGGAACCTGTCCTCTACCACTACAGCACTCAGCCCTCAGCACACTGCTAGGTCCAGGTAGGCATCCACTGTTAATCTGCCTCTTGCCGGCTAATGAGAAGACTCCAAACCAACATACAGTGGCCAGAGAGCAATAATCTAGGCTTGCCCCAGCCCCTTGAAAACACAAACACACACACACACACACACACACACACACACACCCCAGCTGGGTAGGAAAAAAAAAAAAAAGAACAAATCCCCAAAGAAACCTAACCTGTCTGTTCACTTCGGCAGTGCACGACACTCCTGGACCTCCTCCGCTGGCCTTTTCCCCAGTGTTTACCTGATGGGCCAAGTTCATAACTCCAACCACTTAGCCAATGTCCTAGCAAGTAATGGGAAAGAGCTGCCAAACCCAGATGTGATGACACATGGCCCTGTGAATGAACACATCCACATAGGCATAGACAAACACATCCATATGCACAGGAATATCAACACAAGGTGAAAACATTTTTCCTTGTCACATTCCAGTAGTCAGTTACTTCTAAGAGAGAGAACACAATGAACACACTGTGCTTTTCTCCTGTTTATATTTAAAAAAAGGTCATCCTTTTCTAGGGTGGTGCGGTGGGTTAGTGGACCCTCGAAGGCTGGGGTGAGGGCTTCTTAAGGAATCCTCTCAGAATAACTGAGTGGTGAGCTCAGGGAATTAGGACTGGGAAGTGAGAAAGAAGGTTTATAGGATTTGGAGCTGGAAAGGACCTTATAAATTATCTAGTTCAATCCCTTTACTTGTCAGGTCTGGAAATGGAGACCTGGGCAATTTAAAGGCCTAGTCTATGCTCATACATTGAGTAACAAAGATTCAAACCCAGATCCTCTGGACTCCAGCATTCTTTGTAAAACTCCATATGGCATTTCACTAGTTGCATGGTGATAAGGGAGTGGTGGTACTCTAAGGGGAACAGGCTAGAAAGCTGTGAATTATTTCCTTGAGAGAGAGAGAGAGAGAGAGAGAGAGAGAGAGAGAGAGAGAGAGAGTGTGTGTGTGTGTGTGTGTGTGTGTGTGTGTGTGTGTGTGTGTGTG